GCCTCATTGGCCGGCGGGACCTCTGCCATTCACCGGACAGCTGAGGTTATAAACAAGTCTTTTTGTCGTCCGTACACTTGCATGTCCTGACGGCAGTCATATTTTGGTGTCATCAGTGAAATTGGTGCTGGGACGACACTTTCCTGCTTACAGAATGACATTCAGCAGTCTGGAGAAAACAAAAAGACAAAACATTGCCTTGCCAAGGGACGCTCTCATCCGACCACCCAGCAGGTTCTGGAGATGCTAGAAAAATTAGTATGTCCAGCGTCCTATTATTGACTACATGCTTCCAATACCTGTCCGAGGCTGTCCTGTCTTTGTGTTTTAGTGCAATGTGGAGATGAGTGATGGCTTCTGCAATGGGCCCTAAGGGCAGGAAGTCTTCCTTATCTGTATATCACATTAAGTCATCACTACATCTGATGACACTGTGGTTCAGGAGAACTCTCCAACTTTCTTGAAGGTGAAAATGAAGGACCTCAAAAATAATAGATTTTGTATCAACAAATGATATCCAGGCACACTCAGTTTTTAAAGAAATTAAATATGTTAAATTAATCACATGTTGCTTTGTAGCAGTACATTTCCAGGTAGTCTTAGGACATAGCAGATATATATATCTGGTGTATACTTATCAGTAAGTGTGGTGCTTTTTAATCAGATACTGGGGGTGTGACTCTTCTCAGCCCAATTAATATAATACATCTTCTCCAATGTGCAACTGTTAAAAGTGTGCAAAATTTAATACAATTGGGTAAACTTTATAACCCTTGCTTCTCCTGTTGGGTGAGTTAGATCTCACTCTCAGTGAGTTGAGCTTGTCTCGTGTTTCTGACTCTGGTGCTGTTCCAGTAAACCAGACTTAGATCAGTGCCTTATAGGAGTGGTCTCTTGGCCTTCCACCAAGCAAATTCATCAGGAAAAAATTGTTACACTGGCCATGGTCAAGAGCCGCCTGTCTTGCTAATAACTACACTCAAGGCCAGTTTGGATGTTGGAGTTCAGCTTTGTGCTTTAAAAAAAAACAACTTTGCACTTTTTCAGTCCAACTTTTTCAGCTTATACTTAGCTCAATACATAGCTTTTATTTTGCAGAAAACTTTGGATCCCTGTTACTGTACAGATCATAATGACCCCCAGGAGTTGTCACACATCATTGAAAATAAAAAAAAATCTTAAGATGTTCTGGAAATCTCAAGGTTTTTGAAAGAATCTTGTTTCCCCTCGCTCCTTGGGTAAATAGTCCATTTCAAAGATAGTCATCTGTCCTCCTCTGTTCTTTTCACAACATGTCACTAACTTGAGCTTGATTGTCAAAATTGCCCGACAACAAATGGAGGTTTGGCGACAAACATGGCCCTGGGCCTACAGCAGAATGCCGTGAATTTGTAAATCGACACACCTGCACCTTCCGGCAAGATTCGCCACATTCTTGCACATCCCATCTCCCAGGAGACAGTGTACTTGATGGCAATAAATCGGAGAGAAGGGAGGGAATGGCATGATCTCAGGGCTTTCTGCAGCTCGAGGTATTTGTGACAGAAAGGTTGACCACAGATCTACATGTACGTTTCTCTCATACCAGCATCAAAATGAAGTATCTTGCCTGTTTTATGCAGTCGTGTATAGCTATAAGAAACTAAAACCCATGTAATTCAGTTGTCTTTGATATAGTTATTTTTTTGTCTGACATACAAAACCAACATGACTTGTAGAACTTAGTGCAACATCACAATGATCCTGATTCATGTGTCCTTGTAAATGTTTCATTAATAGAATTCAGCTGCAGCATCAAGTGCCATACAACACCCACATCTGGTGCAGGCACACATCATGTCGTACTGTACCTGCCTTTTCTGGCGCACCTGACAAAGAACAATAGCTGACCTCTGACTACAGCCGGAAGTCCATTTTGTTACTCTGCACACTGCTATATCATCCTGGCATAATGATGGGTGGACGGTACAGCTATACAACCGTAAATCTTTTCACAGTTCCTCTGATTTGACCGGGACAGAAGGAACAAGATATTGTCTACTATGCACACTTAATTACAGTAATAAGCAACAGAAGTAATAGTAATCACACACACAAGAAATTGTCAACCATGTCAAAGTGCAAGGTTAACTGATCTTAAAATCCCACTTTGTGCAGTAATCCATAGGTAATGAGGGCTAAAGTCATGTAAGCACAGTTGTATATCAGAGCAGAAGACATCATTACAACAGCAGCCTATTGTGTGTCTTATTTATGGGACCACCTGATCAATGCTTGAAGGCATCTGAATTACATTTACGATTGGTTTGTGACAATCACCTGAACAAAATATATTCCTTCAGAACTTCCTAGACCTGTTGATTTTGAAACAATTAATCAAGACATTATTGTGGAAGAAGAAAAAGCTTCAATGCAATATCATAGACTCATATGAAGAAACTGACTGAAAAGAAGTTTTTAAGTCAAGGTGTTAATTTGATAATACATGTGTTTAGTGAAACTAGGGAATGATAGGAAGCAGCCTCTCCTTTTCAGATGTTGCAGGTGTTCAGTTGGAAGAGTGGCTAATGTGAGAAT